ATATATATATATATATATTAGATGTAGTAAAAAGAAATCCATTATTTTTGCATGAAATTGAATGGAAAAATAATGGATTTCTTTTTACTACACCTAATATATATATATAAATTTACATTTTTCTAGAAATGTGCTAATTTTTATTTTATTTTGACTTAAAAAAAATCAATTTAAATTAATTAAAACATTAATTTATGGATACGTCCCTAGAAAATATTTTTGCAAATTATATATCAAGATAATAAGGCTATTGATACAGCTGTTGCAGCAGACATCATAATAGCCAAAGTAAGAAGTCACAGCATTTATTCAGCTGCTACAATTGCCATGTAGAAATATAAAATTAAACTTCAAAAATGCATTCATCACGTTTCGTGATGTCCTCTGGTCTTTTTAAATTTTCTGCGACGTATAGACCGTTTACACGTTGCTCGCAATTAACGTGTTTTTCAAATATTTTCCGAAGGTACGAAAGGTAAGTGAAGTTACGAGCAAGAACGCGCGTCTTGTATGATAATTTAATATAAATTGCGCATTTCTGAAGTTTGAAATGTCATTTCGTATACAAGGCCGACGATAAAACCGTAAATCTAATCTGTCGGCAAATTCATCGTCGAAAAGTCACGCCTGTGAAATAAATAGTCGATGCGAAATGTCGGGATTCGCGTTTGTGAGTTGTGTGTAAAAAGCAACAGTTTAAAACGTAAGTTCTTCCAACAAATTATTGACCAGAACTTCTTATCGGGAAATTTCTGAATACGTGGCCGTCCTATCGTGTATGCACGTTGTGCACGCCGGTAATTATCAGCGATAATACCACTGTACATAGAAAATAAATATGAATATGGCATGCCTGAGCGCGCAGGTGGACATCGTTCGCCACTTGTCCACGCACCCTCCTTATACATTCTTCCACAATTCAACAAGCTCCTGAATAACGCTGGATAAGAAGATCTATCAAGCAGTTGGCCTATGACGGTAAGCTCGAATAATAACCACGCGATTGTCTTCAAAAAATAACGCGTTTGCCTTTATAATTAAGTCTTTCGAGACCTTTGAACAGATAGATTAAAACGCAAATTAGTTTCGTTAGATTTCAGTCTGCGACTCATATTTCGTCGGAAAGTAAAGATTCAACCGTGAGCATATATTACACGCTGTTTGAGTTACAATGTAATATGTTACATTGTGTAATGATTATTTTATGAGGGACAGTATAAAATAGATTCAAGTACATAAGATATATACAACAGCCTGTTAGATAATCTGCTTTAGTTTATTTTACAAAAATAGTAACTATTGTTGCAATAATAACTCGAACCTGATTGTGAAACAACTATAGAAAAGTGTGCAAAAAAATATTGTGTTTATTCCACACATTTTATGGATCAGTTCTTACGTCGCTCGACACACGAAGAAGCAGCCACGTCATAAAATAGACCACACAGTAATCAACCTGATCCATCGATCCCAACGATCAACAAACTTTTCATTTCAAAGTTTGTTCGTTCGGCTCGAGTTATCAGGTTGAAATGATCACTGATGAATATCTAATTGATTACGTGGAAATGAGCTTGTCATATTCTGTATCTTGGATATTTTTGCAAAGATGACTTCGATAGGCCAACGAAATTTGTTGCAATTCTGCATCTGTAGGCGTGTAAGAAGCGTAAGTTCTCAAACGTGCTCTAGACATCTCCAAATCCTGTCATAATAATATAATATGTAAGTTTCCAATTTTATTTAAAATCTATAATTGATATATACTTTGCGCGCACACACACACACACACACACACACACACACACACACACACACACACACACACACACACACACACACACACACCATTTATTTATTTATATATATATGTCACGCAATACATATGTACAATAAATATCTCACCATATTTTGTAATATCAATTCTTTAATTAAAAAATTTTTAATTAATTGGATTTAATATTTTTGCTATCATTAAAATTTTTTAATTAAAAAATTTTTAAATTAAAAAATTTTAATGATAGCAAAAATATTAAATCCAATTCATTTTAGACAATTTATAATTCATGTCAAATTTTTCAAAATAAAATGTATTTATAATCTTAAACAATTTTATGTATTAGGTATTTTAATATACATATGTATGTGTATATTTCTAACCGTGTTTTTGTTATATGTAACATATAAAATTGTAACTAGAATTTTATTCTAAATATAGGCTAAAATGACTTTATGACAAACTTCGTTCCAATTGTAAAAAATTGTAACAAAACGATAGATAACATTGAGTAACATGTGATCTTATCAGTAAAATTACTTCAAAGTAAGCAGTTTGTCTAACATAGAGAGTTTGCACGTTCTATATTCAATATAAGTACAATGAATTTTGCTTTTAATTTGGTTTTATTTTATAAGTACATTGAATTTTTTTTTTATATAATCTAAAAGATATATTATAACAAACCTTTAGAAGAGCCTGATTGCGAATACAAGATTTTTCCAAATTTAAAGGCAAATCTGTTGGCGATGAGTCAGAAACTTTGAAAATATTCTTGTTACGAATCTCGCGACGTAATTTATTGCTGTGAAATAAAATGAAAAATAATTTTTTTTTGTTGATCAGGAAAATGTTATACACATGCATGTATCATTAATAAATAATATTAGCGAATAATAAATTTCATTGTAAATGTACCGCTCTTCTATTTCTCGTTCAAAATGCTGTTCTTTTAGCAGATATTCATCAAAAACACTTCCAATATCAATAATGTTGCTCCTTGCCATTTCACAAAATCGTTATGATCCACTATATGCGAGTACAATTGTCGATAACAATTAATGTTTTTAGAATTGACTTAAATTATTTCGAGGAAAAAAAGAAAAAAAATGTATATTTATTAATACTAGAGTATAGAGGTGCGTTCCGATATTCATTGGTTTCCACGGTAACGCGTTACTAGCGCAATGTTCTTCGATGCATCTAAAAACGATCGATATCTGTGTATGAACTATTGTTATCTATAGCACATAGTAATGTGATTATTATCATTTAATGATAGCAAGTGTCTGTTAAAAATTTACAAAATAATATTATATATTCGTAATAATCTTAGAATGTTTAATTTTAGAATACAATAATAAAATATTTTAAATAAATTATATCCAAGAAAAATTTATATTTATGACTCTAATAAATATGATACACATATATATTAGTCTATGCAAAATTTATGTTATAATATATTTTATTTAAGGGAAGATACTTTTTTTTTCTTAAAAATAAAAGATCCCAATGTCAAATTTATTTATTCTCCTAAAGACTGTGATTTCGGCTGTAAAAAAAAATATATATATATATATATATTTATTATAAAATAATATTATTAAAGCATTTTATTTTTTTTTCTTACCAGTATGTATATATGACTCGGCAAAGAACGTTCAATCATCTCTGATAATCGTCCTTTACTCACTTTGTGTTCCTCATCTGTATATTGCAGTTTTGATGTGTCAATTAAATATTATAAAATATAAATATTATAAAATCTTTAAATTGCTCTATATAGCAGATATATATTACCTGCAGGTACAGTTAGCGATAATGTTGGAAGAGCCACAAAACCAGCAACTAGCGGTCGTAAAATCCAATCAACTCTTCGAATATTTTTAGGCAGTATGTAAATATCGACCTGAAAAGAGATATTAATAAGATCATTGTATCGTGTGAAATGTAAGCATGAAACATACTTGTTTTTGACCAGCAAACATGAATGCATCACTGCCTTCCATAGCTAAGCGCAAAGTGACAAGGTAATCAGAATGATTTTTTATGAAATATGATATACAAAACGGCGTGCGAACCCATCCATGGGCTGGCATTTTGGCTTCCAATCCGATTACCGCATCTTCAACCCATAAAGGAGCTAAAGTTACGCTACTACTAGTTTCTAACGCGGTTTCGTCATTTGCTCTGTGAAAATAACGAAGATTACAGACTGCATTATGCATAATCTCTATCAATTTTTACCTTTTCCACTTGATAGTGTATACTCCAATACTAATTGGCAACTCGCCACCTATCTTTGGAATCAAGCAATAGGCATCAGTCCCTGTCTCACCATCACAGAGTTTAACACCCGCTAAAATGGACTCCTGATTGTCAAGATTGCTCTCTTTTTGAATGGAATCTGCCTAATTTCGAGCTTAAGTTTATCACAAAATTCTAATTTCCCTAACATAAACTTATACAGATAATTAAATTATATTTTAAATTGCCCGAAAAATCCATGCAAATTTCTTAAATGATGTTTAAAATTCAAGACTTTTACAAGAAAGAAGTCATGAAATATCCGGAAGATGGAAAAATATTGTGAAATAAAATGATATATTACAAATTGTTCTAACAAAAAAAAAGTTTTACTTTAAATAATTTTAATTTAAATTTTAGTTTTGCTTAAAATTGTCGTATAGATTTTCCAGACATTCCAATAGATATAGAAACTCTGAGACTTACCAATTCTATAGATGTACTTAGAATGTTTATAGGCCATGGAGAAACACAGGTAATGTGAGGCATGATGATAAAGGGTTCGTTAACAAAACCTTTTGTTAGTGATTCGAACAGTGTAGTATAAAATTGTGTTGCAACTTCAAATGGTTTCTTAACTGCCAACGAATATGTTAATTCTTTATTTCCCCTAATTTGTTCGGGTCTAGTATAGTCTGCCTGTTACATATAATAATAATAAATGACAATATTATATCATTTGATATATTAATTTATTGAAATAATTATATATAAATACCTTTATTACGATATTTCTATCGCCTACTTTATGTGCTCTAACATGCACAATATGTTTAGCTGAAGTGCCTTTTATCATATCACCAATAACAATAGATACTTTTGACTCTTTACTAAGCATATTAATACTTAATTCAGCTGAAATACATTATATAAGAAAGCTTAGTTGATAAAAAAAAAGTATTATATATTGAGTTGTCCGGAAAGTTCGTGCCGATTTTGAAGGAAAATTGAAACGCAGAAGATTTAAATTTTAGTATACATTTATTAAATTTAAATCTTTTGCGGCACGAACTTTCCGGACAACCCAATAGTATACAAGATTAAAAAAAAAAGATCATTTATAAGAAAATAAAAGAAAATAAAACTGAAAACGTGAAAACATACTTGATTGCTCATTGCTACCATCTGATAAAAGTATTATATATAAACAGACTGCATTAACATTCTCATTAGCTGATAAGGATATCGTGATGGGTAGCCACTCGCCTAAAAGCGCAGGGTTGTTGGATTTTGCATCTAGACTTAAACTTGATTCTTCTTGTTTAATCTCTGCGTGAATTAACGGTCTTATTGCTTCAAATTCTCCTCCACTGTTATGAATAAAAATTATATTTTATTAGTTTTTTTGTCAAATGACTAATAAATATTAAAAACAAAACTTAAAAACTCTATAAATATACCGAAGTCGTTGTATTTCAGGATACAAACGATCCAACAAATTCGTTTCCCTACCCATAGCTGAGAATCTCAACATAATACAACAATGTTCGCTATCACCCATTTGTAAAGAAACTGTGCTAATACGAATTTCTACACCATCATTTTGACGAGGAGCTTTAAAATTGAAATAAAGTTTTTTCGTTTCTTTTGCTTGAAAAATAAGATCTGATTTTTTAATTTCATCAATTGGTATCTCAGCATTGTAACCTGGTCCACTGACTGTTATCGATGCATTAGAAAACTCA